AAACTACCAGGCCTCAGCCCCACCGCCTTCTCCCTCGCAGTGCCCACGGGAACCCCCCTCCTCCTGCCCCCCCACGGACTCTCACCAGCCTGCCCCTCCTAGGTCCCTCCCCACTGACCTCTGCCCCCCTCCACCTGGATCCCCACCCCAGAATCAGCTCCCTGCCCCCCCATGACATCCTCTGCCCCCCAGCTCCCGGTTCCAACCCGTGCCTTGTCCCCCGTGAGCCTGCTCCCCTCCCCCGCCCACAGCCAGGTATCCACCCCCAGAGCCAGCCGCCCACCCGCCCCTCCCCAGATCGAGGAGCCAGCCGTCCCCCGTACCTGGGTGATGGTGAGGGTGGTGCGGTTGACCTGCTGGGCCTGCATGGCGGCCTGCGCCCGGGCTTTCACCACGTGGGTGCAGAGCAGGGAGCCCAGGGAGCCGTAGTCAGCCTTGTACGAGTCCTGGTTGTCGGGCGGCGGGCGGATCTTGGCCAGCACTGGGGCGCAGTGCTTCTGCGGGGTGGGTGGAGGGGAGAGGTGAGCGGGAACCTGGCAAGCCACCAGGGAGGCAGGGGAGATGTGGAGAGAGTGGGAGGGGCCCAGGAGAAAGGGGCGGAGCCCCAGGCAGTGGGACTGACGAGAAAGGGGTGGGGCCTCATTGACTGGGAGGAACCAGATGGGGGAGGAGCCCATGAGAAAGGGGCAGAGCCCAGGAAGTAGGACGGGCCCCAGGGAAGTTGAGAGCAGGAAGGGAGTTGGAAGGAGATACTAAGTTGCACCCCCAAATACGGAGCCCCCAGGCCACGCCCCCACTCCAGACCACACCCCTGACCCCAGGTCACGCCCCCCCTCCCCAGCACTCACCAGCAACAGACTCTGGACGTGGTCGGCCCCGATCTTGTCGATGTTGCTGACAACCGGCCCCTCCACGATGCCGCGCACCCGCTCGCCCTCCACCTGCAGCCGCGGCAGGATCAGGGTCTTGATCACCTGGGAAGAGGAGCTGTCAGCTGGGAGGCCACTCCCACCCCGCCCCTCCCAGCATGCCCCAGGGGCCGTCCCCCCACCCCACCCCCCACCGCCACCCCCAGCAGACCCCGGGAGCCCCCTTCTCCCTCACAGGCCTGGGGTCTCACTCACATCGTGACCCAGCTCGGCCAGCCCAGCGATGGAGCCGTACCGCGTGGTCCAGGGCGTCTTCTCGTCCACCCAGCTCTGCGGGGACAAATGCGGGGTGAGTCCTGCGCCCCCAGCCCCCCCCCCCACAAAAGGTGAAGGATGTTCTTGGTGGTGGGGCTAGGCCCCGCCCCTCTCCCCAGGACCCACCCCACCTTGATGAAGATCTTGGTGATCCAGGACTGGATGTTGGTGGTGGTGGTGCTAGGCCCTGCCTCCACCTTGGTGAAGGTCTTGGTGATGCAGGACTGGATGTTGGTGATGGTGCTAGGCCCCGCCCCTCTCCCCAGGCCCCGCCCTACCTTGGTGAAGGTCTTGGTGATGCGGGACTGGATGTTGGTGATGGTGCTAGGCCCCGCCCCTCTCCCCAGGCCCCACCCCATCTTGGGAAGATCTTGGTGATGCGGGACTGGATGTTGGTGATGGTGCTAGGCCCCGCCCCTCTCCCCAAGCACTGCCCCACCTTGGTGAAGATCTTGGTGATGCAGGACTGG